AAATCTGAAAACGTTCACCTCCCCCAACTCTCTCCCCCCAAAACTGTATTCAATCTTTCATCACCCAATCTTTTTGTTATCCTCAAACCTTCCTTTCCTGTATTCACCTTTAATTTTCTTCTTTTGCACACCCCACCAAATTCATCCACCAAAACTCTGCAACTTCTCTTTAGAACCCCAAGAGACGGCCAGCAAAAAAGGGAGCGTGACAACTCCCACTTTGTGTGTGATTTTTATCTTTTAACTCCACCCTCTTGCCAAACCCTCCATTTACTTCTCTTACAACCCATCTTTTAAAAATATTAAACAACCACGGTGACATCCACATCCTTGTAAGGGCCCACTTTTACTGGGAAAAAAAATTTCCCTCTTTCCTACATACTCTAATTAGCCTCACTATCCTCGTAAAAAAACTCTTCACTGCTTTCAGTACCTACCTCCTCACCATCCTTGCAACATCTGCCCAATTTCCCCCCTATCCACCGTCATACGCTTTTCCAAATCCTAAATGCCCCAAAGACCTCTTTAGCCTTATCTAAAGTTCACTTTAAAAGTTTCACTGTAAACACCTGGTCCCCACCCCCCTACCTTTCCCAAAGCCTCCTTTTTCATCTTATCCTATTTTCCGCTTTCTCTTAATTCTTTTAATTAACTCTAACCCTACATTTTACCCGGTACACTCAACAGACTTTTCCCCCTATAATTTTTCACCCTTTTTTCCCCCTTTTCCTTTTTACAAAGGAATAGATGCTCTCGGGCCAATCCCTAGGGGACCTACCCTCCCATACATTTTTAAACTTGCCCAACCCCCCCAAAACTTTTCCCCCCCGCTTTTAAACATTTTTTTTACCCCATAACCCGGTTACCCCCCATTTTCCTCGCCTACGAATTTCCCCCCCCTAAACAAATGGTTTTCATACAAATGTTATTTTTGCCCTATACACGAAATCCCCTTCCCTTTTTCACAACATTTAACTTAAAATTTTTCCACCCCAAACCCCAACTCCCAAAAAAACCCCTCTCCTATTTTTAACTGACAAATCCATTTTTTTCTCTAGGCTTTTTTAACTTTTTTAATCTCCCCTCCCCAAAACTTTTTTTTTTTTTCAACAAAATTTGTTGTAACATCTCACCCCCCTCTCATTTTCTCTCTTTTTTTCATTGCTTTACCATTTTTAACCCTCTCTTTTTCTCCATATACTCTTCCCTCCTTCATCACTTCTACTTTGTAAAAAATTCTCATACTAACTTTTTCCCCTTACACCCTTTACATCATCATTCCCCAACCCCTTTCCCCCTGCACCCACTTTCCCGTAACCACAAAAATTCTGCGAAAAAAAAAACTCTAACCACATTTTTAAACCACCCCATACCTCTTCGACCCCCCTTGCCTATGCTCTCATTACCCATCTATCCTCCAATAGCGTTTATATCTTTCCCTAACGCCTCCTCTTTTATTTATAAACCCTTTACCTCTCTCTTCCCTGAGCTTCTTTCTCCCTTTTATCCCATCACCTTTACTCTCAGTGTAGCTACAACTGAAAGTGATCTGATATATTTTGGGCCCCCCTATAAAATGTACATCCTGAAGTTTACTCAACGTCTTTTATCTACAAACATAATCCAAAAACTACTGTCATTTTGCCCTACACATATCGTGTATACTTATTTATCCCCTTTTTTTTTAAAAAAGTATTCTATAAAAAAACCCTTTCTATACAAAGTTCAATCAAGGGCTCCCTTATCATTTCACCGGCACCCCAAATTACTACCCACCTCCTAAAATTTTTCCCACTTTTGCATTCAAGTCCCCTACCACAAATTACTCTCTCACTTGGTTCAAAGGCTCCCAACATTACTTAAATCTCCCAAAAAACCTGTCTCTCTCTGCCTTCCCCCTCTTTTCCAGTGCATACACCCTTTTTATGACCCACTTCTGCATCCAACCTTTCTTTAAACCACATAATTTTTGAATTTTCACATTCATATTCCTTTTTTCCTTCCCAAATTCATTTAACTTACTGCTACCCCCCCCTTTGCTCTAACTCTCCAGATACCCAGATTTAATCCCATTTATTTCCCCCCCCCTGAACTCTCCTACCCCCTTTTAGCTTTGGTTTTGCTTTTGGGCCAGGGCATCCAATTCTTTTTATTCATAACATCGCAATCATTGTTTCTTGTCATCCGCCTACATCCACGCACATTTAAAAAAACCCCGTTATAAAGTTTTTTTTCTTCTCTTTTTTTGAATTTTAACAGGGGAAGGGGGGTTTCTACCATTGCTCCCGGCATTTTAGTCGCCTCATACGACACGCATGGGTTTCGAGGAAAGATTCTTTTCCCCTTCCCCCTGGACAAAAGAAAAATAAAAAAGAACAAGAGTATTTGAAAAAGAGAAAAACCAGATGTATGTAATATATTATGCATTTGCGTGGGCTGTAAATGTGACCAAAGTGTTTGTGGAGTAGCAAGATATCCCTGTTACTTTGGTGTTTTTGAG